AAATGAAAGTGACCTTGGGAAAGGCATCTCCCTTCTGGGGCTCTGTTTTTCCTCACCTTCAAAATGAAGGCCTCAGACTCAGTCTGTCATGCACTGAGAGGTTTGACATTCACTCAGCAAACACCAAATGGTACCGCCTCTGGGGCTGGAGCTCAGAACCCCAACCATGGAAAACAGTAAGAAAGCCCATTCCCCCTGAAAGTGAGGGGTACACTCTGCTTGTCACCAGCTTGTACCAGCACTCCCCCCACAGGCCCTAGGTTTTGGAGTATTTTGTCGACCATGTGTTAGCGTCTATCCCGTGTTAGTGTACCTGTTCTCAGCCCCTGCTGGCTCTCACAAATGAACACACATATCCTGGGAGAGTCTTTTAAAAAACGGGGGTAGAATGTTGGTGGGGCACCTTTATTTTTAAAAGACTCACAACTACTTTTCCTGGGCACCTAGAGTGTGATTGTGTTAGTGCACCATGATTTGGTTTTACTGTTTTCTTTTCTTTTCTTTTTTTGAGATGGAGTTTCGCTCTGTCGCGAGGCTGGAGCACAGTAGCGCGATCTCGGCTCCCTGCAAGCTCTGCCTCCCAGGTTCACGCCATTCTCCTGCCTCAGCCTCCCGAGTAGCTGGGACTACAGGTTCCTGCCACCACACCCGGCTAATTTTTTTGTATTTTTAGTAGAGACGGGGTTTCACCGTGTTAGCCAGGATGGTCTTGATCTCCTGACCTCATGATCTGCCCGCTTCAGCCTCCCAAAGTGCTGGGATTACAGGAGTGAACCACCGCACCCGGCCAGTTTTACTGTTTTTGTAACAAAGCAGAATTGTCATGACCAGGGGGCTTAAGAAGCAAAGTTATTGAGGCAGAAGGATTGGATTGCTTGCGCGCAGGAGTTTGAGACCAGCCTGGCAAACAGAGTGAGACCCTCTCTCTATGGAAAAAAAAAAAAAAGAAGAAAAAAGAAAATAACCAGGCATGGTAGTGCCTATGGTCCCAGCTACTTAGGAGGCTGAGGTGGGAGGATCTCTTGAGCCTGGAGGTTGAGGTTGCACTGAGCCAAGATTGTGCCAGTGCACTCCAGCTTGGGAGACAGAGTGAGACACTGTCTCAGACAAAAAAAAAAAAAAAAAAGCAAAGTCACGTTCACGTGACATTTTGGGATCCTGGTTCTGTTGGGCTGTGAGTACTCCGGGGGCATGACACCTACTCCTGGACCCTATTATATGGGCCCTCCGGGAGGTGGCTCTGCCCTGGAAGTCCCTTTTCCTTCAGGACCCTGTTTCAGCCCTGGGCCCTCTCACCTCCTCTGGTCCTATCCTGTTTTGCCCAAGCATTCCCAGCCCTTGTGTGGGGAGCAGAGAGATCTTCCCTCAAGCCACCCAGTACCACCACCGCTAGCACTTTGTCTTTGTTTTACCTTGAGGACGTGAGCAAAGCTATCAAGACTCCACAGAGGAACTCTTGGTCCTTGGTCCACACAGCCTGTAGATGACGCAAATAAACCCCATCTAGATAGAGGCTTCTCTTTTTTCTTGGAAGTTCAGCGGAAGCTGCTAGCTCTGGAGGATCAGGGGGCAGAGATAACAGGCCCGAGGAACCACCTGGAGCCGCGCACGAATGGGGAGGGGGTTCTCACAAAGCACAGTGCTATCTCAGCAACTTCCCTGGTGAGCTGGTGGGTTTTTCCTATGGTGTATCCAACGTTTACACTTCAATCTCCCAGGAGCAACTCTGCACGGGCTTCATTCTGCAGGGAGCCTGCAAGGAGCTCCTTGAAGTTAATCTGGCTTCCTGGGGGTTAAGACAGACCTGCAGCTCCCCCAGGCAGAAGCTGAAAGCGCCTCCCTCTCTAAACTCAAACTGAGCTGTGCTGGGCCAGCAGAGCAGTGCCTCAGAGGGAAGGATATCCCCTCCCCTCAGGAGCTGGCTCACTTGGGCAGATCCTGGGAGACCCTCAGCATCCCTGGGTTTAACCTTGGAAGCTGTGCTCAGCCCATCCTCTCCCCACCACCCTCTCCTGACCATCTGTCTGGAGAGACTGGCGAACGGGTGGGAGACGAGATATTGAATCTGGACCGCTCTGTGTACTCCCCTCCATCTCTTCTCCACATGTGGGTCAGGGTGAGCCTCTTAAAAAGGTAAACGAGGTCATGTTGCTTCCCTGCTAAAACCCCCACTGCCTCCCCAGCTGCCTTGGAATCATACATGATCTGGCCCCTCTAATCTCTGACCTCTGACCTCAGCTCTCACGCCTCTTCCCTGGCCAACCCCCAGTCCCACTGGCCTTGGAACAGGCCCCTAACAGGCCAGCCCTAGGGCCTTGGCACTGGCTGTTCCAGCTGCCTGGAATGCCCTTCCCCTTATCTCTGTACCTTGTCAATCAGACTTCAGCTTCGATGTGCCTCCCGACCTCCCTGACCGCTGGATCTAAAGTAACTGATTATGCTTTCTATGACAGCAACTCGACTTAATGCCCCGCATAGCACTTAAGACAAGTTTTATTGTGATCTAGCTCGTGTGTCTTCTCCCCATCCTGCTCCCAGGACGCCAAGTCCCTCGCAGAGGGCAGTCCGGTGCCCTGCAGAATTCCCCGGGGCTGGAGCAGGCCCCGCGGCGAGTAGGCGCTGAGTACACAGCTGAATGAATGGCGTAGCAACTGTAAACGGGGCATCAGCTGCTGCGCGGGCGCGCGCTCCTGGCAGTGGGCCGCTCACTGTCGCGTGCGCGGGTTTGATCTCGTTGCAGGTTCCGGGGGAGGGACACCCCTCCACCCCGCCTGCTGGCGGTAGACGCGCCGTAAATGCGCTTTGGAGACCGGAGGATAACGAGACAGACTTACAGGCAGTGGGAAGGACGGGGGTCCCGCGAGGGCCGCCGGTGGGCAGTTCTGTGGCCGGCTCGGCGCCCCCGGACCCCGGCGTTCAGGACCCTGTGGGAGACCTTCCCACCTTCCCAGTGGTTTCCACCCCGCGAATTGCAGATTATCTCCCGAATCCCAGGGACTTAGCGGTCGAGTGGGCGGAGGGGGAGCGTGGCTCCGAGCGCCACTGCGGGCTGGGGGCAGGTTCCCGGCGCTCTCGCCCCATCGGGGCAGAGAGTACCGACCACGCTGCGGGACGCGGCTGGCAAGGCCCTGGCCCTGCCGGGGCGCGGACGCCAGCGCTTAGCTCAGCCCCGGGCTAGGAGTGGAGACGCAGCCCTGCTGCGCGCTCCGGCAGGAGACCCGGGTGGGGACGGGGGCGGAGGAGCCTGGGGGCAGGGAAGGGGACAAAGAGCCGCCCTGCCGCGGGGAAGAGCGACCCCCATGTCACAGTCCTATTGTTCGCTGAGTCTCCGACTGCCCTGAACTCTGGTGCCCCCGGGAGGGAGAAGGGGCGCCGTCGCCCAGATCGTGGGTATTTGTTTATCTGGGGAGAGGGAGGAGGGCGGGGGACGCGGGCCGGGGAGGGGGCTCGACTGCTATTTCTGCGCGTCGCCTTTAAGGGAAGCCCGGCCCTACCTTTCCCACCGTCCCCCTCCCCGCAGTCGTACCTGCATTTTAAAAGCGCCCTGTAGCCCTGGGATTGGCCAAGGCCGCGTCCTCTGGGCGCAGAAACTTGAACCGCCGGGAGCCGGCTGCGGGCGGGGGTCGGAAACCCCGCGGATGGACCGTACCACCCCCGCGGCTCC